AGATAAGGTCAACTGAAACCTCCAACTTAAACAACAGTAGCGCAAGTACACAATGCATGACCTGAGCCCAAACTCTGAGAGCCCCCCCCCTTTTAAAAGTCCTGTATTTCTGCTTACAGGTAGGATGGTGGTCTGTGAGGTGCCACCCTAGTCCATAAATTCTCATTCCTTTTCCTCAGACATTTATCCTTATTTTCCTTGTCACTGATTCAGCCTCTGGGACAAGTACCAAACTCTCAGTAACACTTGGGATGTTAACTCCTCGGGTTCACCCCTCACCCTTCAGCATCCCTGCAGACATTCTAGCTGCTTTATCTTTGACTTCTACTCCATTTCCCTTCTGAGATGGAATTAAAAGCATTTTAGAACCAAGCAATCTGAGAGACAGAGCCGGAGAAAATGACACTTTATTACTCCAAAAATTTGCAAGCCCCCTTTTCAAGGTCACGTTTGGCAGCTATGGCAGCTTTGTCTCATTTAAGAGCTTCACTGAGTAGAACAGAGTGTGAGGTCTGGGTTTGAAGACTGACTGCTGCCCTCGCAGGCTAATCTAGTGACCACAAACATTTGCTTCTTCCCCCGCAGTTTGTACAATGACAGTTCTTTGAGGTCTGGGAGAGTTCTGCTTATCCAGGACCATTTGGCATTTCTGTACATTCCCATTCCAGAATGCCCCCTCTGCCAAAAGATATGCCCACCTCAAACCCATGATTGTGGCAGTGTTTGGCAAAGGCGTGTTTGCAGATGGAATTGAGTTAAGGATCTAGAGATGAGCACCCCGCCTCAGGCGGGCCCCACATGCCAAAGCAAAGCCCTCATAAGGAAGAAAAGATGAGAGAAGATGCAGAGGAGCAGGCCCCCTGGAAACAGAGGCTGAGGTCAGAGGGACTCTGCCACAGCCAAGGATCACCTGGAGCCCCCAGGAGTCAGAAGAGACAGGGAGGGCTTCTCCCTGAAAGCCTTCAGACACAGAAGTTCTAACACTTGGGTTTTGGACTTCTAGCCTCCAGAACTGTGAGAGTATAAAATTCTGTTATTGTAGCCCCCCAAGGCCATGGTCATTTGTTATAATAGCCCCAGGCAAGGAGCGCACAGAGGGCTGAGGGGAGAGGCTGCAGAGAGGAGAGGCTGACACCCGAGAGTCCGGGTGGAGGATGTAGAAGTACCTGCACCTGTCACCCCACCCCCCCACCCCTGCCTGCAGGCCCAGGAGTGTACCTGCCTCCACATCCAGCTGCGTGGACGCCTGGTGGATCATCCAGGCTCAGCAGAGCTGCTCCTCCAGGCCCTCTTGGTTTTTGTTCTTCATTTACACCTCCTCACCTCAGGTAACCTTGAGTGAGGCCTGCACAGTGGGTCACTCCTACCACTCTGGGAGGTTGAGGTGGGAGGATAACTGGAGCTCAGGAGTTGGAGACCAGTCTGAGCAAGAGTAGAAACCTCTCTCTCTAAAAAAAAAAAACAAAAAATGTATATATCTGTGTGTGTGTGTGTGTGTGTATAATAGCTGGGCATTGTGGCAGGTACCTGTAATCAAATCTACTTGGGAGTCTGAGGCAAGAAGATCACTTGAGCCTAAGAGTTTGAGGTTACTGTGAGCTATGATGACACCACGGCACTCTAGCCTGGGCAACAGAGTGAGACTGTCTCACAAACAAACAAATAAACAAACAAAGATAAGAAGGTAAGCTGCAGAGCTCAGGGCTCTCTGTTGCACCAGTTTGCCCGAAGCAGTCGCTAGCACCGTAGTGGGCACTGAGAGCCGGGAAGTAAATAATGCCTGAATGAAGGATGAAAGGAGCGTGTGGAAGAAACAGACTCTGCTTCACAGCTACTGAGAAGTCTGCTGCGCCCACCCACGGAGGTTCTGATTCCGTAGATCTAGAAGGGGCCACAGAGACTGCTGTTCCTCCCAAGTTTCCAGGGGCTACTGTGGCCTCCAGCCTAAGGCAACACTTGGGGCAACACTGGCCCAGAACAAGGTGTTCCAGAGGCCTAAGATTCCAACATTCCTGAGCTCTGCAACAGAAATACCAGTGGCCGGAGGAACTGTGCTCTAAGGAAATGACCACTGGGTCGGTCTTTCTACCCCAGGCTTATCTGA